AACACTTGCTCAGTTCAGAGTGTTTGCTGTGCCCCTTCAGAAGCTGATGCAGAGTGGTCCTCTTGGAAATAAGAGTTCATTATCTGAACAGTCATTTTCTCACAGTTGCAACAACTTGTTGGACTAATTACCAGATTCTCACTGACATGACTGATGTCACATCTCTGAATACCACGGAAACTCGTCTTAATGAGGGAAAAACAAAGGGAGCATGTAGGTTTGCATGCATGTGAATATCAGCGTGTTATTTTCCTGAGGTCATACATATGATATTTTTCTGCTAAAGTGGAACGCTGCTGGCCCTTTTCAGTCTCGATAAAGCTGTAATTACGCCTCGAATCGCCTTTTTTGTGATCCACAGCGCGAGCCAGCCTTCAGTAACAAGTGTGGCATTTTCAATCAGGGCTGTTCTTTTTCATTACAGCGGTGTGGTCTGTTTAACACAGCAGTAAAGCAGCTAAAGTGATACAAAGCGTTATGCATGGCACCGGGGAGTGCATCTCCAGTGAAGATATAAAGTTTAAAAAAGTGTGCAAGACAGCAGCTTTCGTGCATACAGTCGGTTTAAATAAGCAGGTGAGGTATGCATGAGCACTCGTCATATTTCTCTCTCTCCTCTTCTCACACACACACGCAAACACACACTGCCTCCCACACACGCAAACACACTGATATGCATTTTTCACTGTGCTGTACATCCAGCAGCACTTCTCCTTATAATAATAAACTCAATAACGCAATAACTGCAGGTGGTGTACATGGTTGTCACGGTGATGAATGGTCTCCAGGGCAACACAGGAAGTCCATCTGGGAGAAATCTGAAAGAGGAAGTAGATAACAGAGATTGAAGAGATGCGGCGGCTACCTGATTTATTCATCCTCATCCATCATCTCAAACTATTGGTTTCCACTATGATTAAATGGCCAATAAAGGACTTTGGGCCTTTATTGTAAAAGAACAGGAGTAACAACAAAGTGTACGCTCACATAACAAGAGAATCGGCCAAACGTTTTGGCTCTGGAAATGAGAAAACCCAAAAATAGTAGTTTCAATTGGATCCGAGAACAACAGCAGAAGCAAATTAAATTGGTAAAGCATAACTATTTGTCTTCTTCGTTCTTTCCCACTTTTGCTTTTTCTCCCCAAACGTCTCCCCCTCCTGTATCTCCTCCCCAAGAGTCTCCTTCACACTCACCACACTTTTTTTTTCTCTAAGGGAGCCAGAAGTTAAGCATTTAAATCCCGTTAATGACTGTAATCATTCGATGTTGCATGGGTTACCCAAGTGGATTTGGTATGACACTGAACGGTGTCATGGTGATTTCCATGTAGCCTGCTAACATTTCTTTGTACCCACTCACTAATCTCTATGTGTATGACTGAGATACTATGCATGCATAATTTTTTTTCTATTCTTATTCTCTGATTAGTAAACAGCTCAGACTGCTGCGTACACCAAGATCAAACAGAATTTTCAATGTCATGCTAAAAATCGCTCGCCAAGCGCGCGTGTGTGTGTATGGGAGAGCAGTTTTTGTGCGCACGTCTGCACATGTAGAATACATGTCATGCGAGGAAAGCCGAATCAAAGGGAATGGAGATCATGAATTACAGAATGTGTGACTTAAGCAAAGCACAGATTGTTTTAAAAAATACATGACAGCATTGGATTAAAGGAATGTGCTTGTGTGAGACAAGGCAAATGAATTTGCAGGCATGCTTTGAAGAGTAGCAGAAGGCAAACATGCAAAGACACCAGATATGCAGATTTGTAAACACGTTTGCATGCTCAGTTTATATATTTGGTGGTATTAAGCTCAGACCATATCTGAAACAAATATGCATGAATTGATTACGGCTTAATTTTGTTTTTCAAAACCTGTTTGGCCTCACATACATGGAAATGAATAGCCAAGAGATTTGCTCAATGTTGCATCAGATAGCACAATTTTTTTGCGTACTTGAATCTAATGCCTCTTTTAAATGATCAAAATAGACAAATAGTTTTCATCAGATAAACATCTGTAAAGTGTATTCAACCTGGACCAGCCTTAATGAACCAGATCCAGGTTCAGGGTGAGCCGAGTTGATACTAAACAGTTGAGACTCTGCAGACAGAATTGTGTCTATACTGCCGGTGCAGACCTTGTCAATCACAAAGAATCATTGTGTTAGTCTGTCAGTCAATTTGCAAGCTGCCTATGTTGTGGCAGATTTCTCTGTTTCCGTAGCAGCTCTATTTTTTTTTCTTTAAACTAAATTTACTCAGATTAATTGTCATTAACACACACCATGTGAATTTTGCCTCTGCACAACTTCAGCACCTCGACAACAACAAGGACATCAAAGCTGTCCTCTTTTCTGATTAATACAGCATGCCTAATGCAAAGATTAGCCATCAGCATCCCTGTGTGCTGCTCACCACCAGCAGCTTGCTTTATGCTGCAAAAACACAGTCAGGTGGATTATGATGTAACTCCACTAGTGAAAAGAAGGAGTCAAATAATGCAGCTTTAAAACAAGCAGCAGCGGTGACATACATGACACACACTTAACATGTGATGGAGTGCCCGCATAGTGAGAGCACATTTTTTATTTTGATGAGGGTTCGTGTTGAGTAACAACACATGATAAAGAAGTTTTACACTAATTAAAGGTGCACTTCACATTTTCAGTTCCACTTACAGTATGAGAGACCTGTCCAATCCAATCCAGTCCAGTCCAGTTGGTCATGTTTGTCCCATTGAGCTCTTCAGGTGGGATTTAGCATTAGCTTTGCCAGGCGTCTTGGGCTCCCTGCTGCTATGGAAACTAAACTTTACAGTCTTTTGAAGCCATTTTTCTGTCCATACTCTACATCTGTCTTGCTGTCTTTGTTATTGAATTCACTGCACTGTGCTGCAAATGACTGTTATTACTATTAGGACTGGGTGATAAACTGATAATTTACCGCTATCAAAATTTATGACAATAACTGCCGTCATTTTCGAAAAATAGGTCAAACTGTAACCTTATTGAATGGTTGTTTATTTAGTGAATAAAACACATCAAGAGTGTGAAAATATGTAAAAGCTGAAGCTGAACATTGCTCATGTTAAACTGACAGGAAATGTAGTTACATGGCTAGCTGGAGCCAATCCCAGCTGTCAGTGCGTGAGGGGCTGGGCTGGGGTACATCCTGAACAGGTCACCAGTCCATCACAGAGCTGCTAATGACAAAAAACCACTCAGGCATGCACAAACTTACACCGAAGGGCAACTTAAAGTCACCCAGAACTGACCTTCTGAGCAAGTCTTTGGACTGGAGTACTAGAGAGAACCCACATCTGAACAGGGGAAAACATGAAAACTCCATTTGGCTGAGAAGGAAACACTTGTGCCCGTGGATCGGCTCCTGTACGACATTTTAGCGTTTCTTACATGATGTCCAGCAGTTTCAAACAGCTGCACTTTGACAGTCAGTCCTTTTCTCTGTTATAGATCTTTAAACAGAATTAATACTCAGACTTAAAGCACACAGAATCAAAGACATATAAGACCTGGTTGCTGTTAAATCTTTTTTATGTATTCTAGATAATGGTCTTCTTTTAGTTTTGCTGTTTCAGGGAATCGTTTTTTTCTCTCTCCATGTCTTGTCTCTCAGTTGCACCTGCAAAACAGCATGTACTGGCATTTCCAGCGTAATGCTGATGGGAAAAATTTGCTTACTCAATCATTTCCACTTTCATTACACCGAGGAAGGCTGCCAGTAAGCATTCACTCCACCAGAAATCAGATGTCTGTACATCCCTGAGCCCCTGCAAAACAATATTTTCATTAAGCTGCTGCAGCGTGGGGCAGAAATCGCTTTCAGAGACGCTGCTGGGATAATAACATCATTTGAATGTGTGTGTGTGTTTGAGCGAGAGAGTGTGTGTGTATGTGTGTGTGTGTTTTAGGGTGGTAGTCATTTCTGGATGTAAAGGTCACCCTGCACCCCTACTCAGCTTTTGATATTTTCTCCAGTCAGGTGGTTCATGCGGCACATTTAGCCTCTGAAGGTAAATGCTTTTATTGCTCAAAGTCATTACTTATTTGCTTCACAACAACAATAACAACAAAACACAGACATAACTTACCACTCAGATAGATCAGTGAAAATACTCACCAAATCTAATAATCCTGGCTTTCATACAGAGCAGAGTCAAACACACTCTCTCCTGTTTGTGATATATGTATCATGTGGATTTGATGCAGTTGGCTCTGATGGTTTTTCTTCCGTATTTAATCCACTCTTGATGACTTTTTGAGAACTTTCCCAGACTTTTGTCTTGTAAATCAACTTTTTATGAGACGTTCTGCAGGAAAAAGTGTAAACAAAAAAGAAATAGGATGTCTGCGTACGGTTGATGCAGGGCCATCTTGAATTTCTTCAGCGAAGTTATATTACAAGAATTGATCTTTTTTTTGCTGAATCAAAGCAGGAAACCTTGAATTCTTGGCAGTAACTCTTTCCTCTGTTAAAATTCCTGCAAAGGCTTTCTTTGAAAGTGGTCCCTGGGGAAACCCGAGCAGATATTCTCTTACTTTTGTTTTTTAGTAAATGAACAACACTAACAGGGGTGCATCATTTGCAGGCAGCAGGGCAGACATCAGGAATGACAAGAATACTTGTAAGGTCTGGAGGATCTGCCTCTCTGGCTGTCAAGAACATCCCTCTGCATATACCCACCTGTCTAAAAGTGTAGCTGTCTGCCTCTCAAACTGTAAATCAACCTGTCTGTCTCCATTTATTCATACAGCCAAGCAGCATTCATGTCGTCAACTGTCTGTCCAAATATTTATCACCACCCGTCCGTCTTTTTCTAACTGTCCATATCAAACATTCCTCTGAAAGCCCGTCGCTGACGCAGATGAAACTCATACGACGCAGAGTGCTTTTAATCCACGTCTTTGTTTTTCTCCCGTCAGCAGTGTCCTTTCCACGAATATGTGGTCGAAGGTCAAGCTAAGACGTAAGGCATTCAAGACCTGTCATTTTGGTCGGGGAGGAGGTTTGGACTTTATCCAGCAGGGGGAAAGTTTCTCCGCTTGTGTGTGCTGACCTCTTGTTCATCTGGGAGTACATGACTAGAGAAGAAAACAGATAAAGTCAGAGAAGCAAAAGTAAAAACTTTACAGATGCTCTTCAGACTCACAAGCAGTATTTTTCTCCAAAAAGATATGTGCCACTCAGCAGCCATGTAGCGTTATTCTCGCGTTCGAAGAGTTTAGAGAGTTTCAAGACTTTGAGAGTAAGACGATAAGACAGACCGAGGAAAGATTAGACGAAAGTAAATCCAGAAATCCAAACTTAGAGTATGAAGCGCTGACGGTGGGGAAGCACTTGCTGGAGAGGAAAGTGGGTCGTTTATGTCACTTTGTGATGACAGGCCGTGTGTCACTGCTGGGCACTCTGCCTCGTTCCTCTGGAGAGACTGACACTGACACAGGGACGGGGACTGTCAGCAGCCTCAATCCCTCCTCCAGCCCTTCAGCATGAGTGTGTATATGTGTGTGTGTGTAGCATGTGTGTGTACATACATGGTAGTGTTTCCATTCTTTCATTTCTGTGTCATGCTTGCTGTTGCTCCTGTTATTTTGTGTGCCGAGGATGTGCGCTCACGTCTTTAAGCAGTGACACAGTGTAACAGTGCAGGGCTTAGCTGGTCACACACTGACAGTTGTGAACACTCCCTTAGGACACACACACACACACACACACACACACACACACACACACAAAGACCATCTCTCTTTTACTCATGACCCACTCCCCCTCCTCCTTCTTCTGGCTTTGCATGTACTTTTGATTCTTTACTTCTTGACAGCGGCGTAGTTTCCATGAATCCTTTGCGGTGCATTTTAAATGTTTCATACTCGTGCAGTCACAATAATAAGTGTTCACCCTGAACTTTGAGTCACAGTGGAATAATAAAGCTTTAGTGACACTCATCAACAGAAAAAAAGAAGAAAAAAATTGCCCATGGACAAATATCTCACTGTACATTCATGAGGAGCTGCAGGGTTCAGCGGTTGAAACAGAAGACAATCTATCTCCTGATACCACATGGTAAGCCTGGTGCTCTGTGCTGTTTAGGCCTCAGGGGGGCCTTGAGGATCTGGGGCCCTAGGGTGATTACCCACTTTGCCTCATTGGTAACTTACCCCGGTGGTGTACAGTGTGATGTAACCGCATACAACAGCCTTTCTAGTGAATTATACATTTGTTAAAAGCGCTGATGTTTCCTCTTTGATCCATGATTGTTGGAGAACAGCTTAAGGCCAGTAAGCTTTGACCGGGGTCACACTCTCCTGTGAAGTAACAGGATCTTAGAGGGATATTCTGGCATAAATTTAAATTATGGTCAGACACACCATAACACAGAGTTAGACACCCTCTCAAGAGATGAATGTTGCAGACCGCTTGCTTCTTTAGTTATACCAACTTTAGTAACGACCGCACAATAGCAATACACAATGTTCTACGTCTCCATGCTCAGAACAGCACCTAACTTCATCAACAGCACATATAGGGTCCCAGCCATAGTACTAGCTATCAAACATCTTTTTAGCTTTGCCTGTTCCAAACACAACTCACCCACTCTCTTCCAGCAGCCACTTGTTTGTGGGGGAGCCCTGAAGAGTCGATCACCAAGTGCAGCGGAGTTTCGCACTCAAGGAAGAACATTTATGATAATTTCTTTACCATTTCCTTGAAGTAGTAATCCCCATATTAATCATTTTGCACTGCAGACGCGGTAGTTCTTCTGCCTTTGGGGGTGTCTAACTCTGTGTTATGGTGTGTTTGACAATAACTTCATTTGACGCCGGAATATCCCTTTAACTTTAGACGAATAAAGACTGATGTGAAGATCCATACTCAGAAAAGTGTTTGCCTGCACTTTTTTTTCCCTTTCCCTGTCGGAAAAAGTGATCATGAGAACTTTGAAAAGATCTGCCTCCGTAGGTGTCTGTGCGGCAGCTGCTTTATCCTTAATTTTAAAATAATCAACATATGGTGTTGGATAATAACAATGCAGTAGATCATTAACGCCTCGCTTGGCATCTGTAGACTGACAGCCATTATGTGAATATTTTATAAGAAAACTCTCACTGCAGGTTTAGCTGGAAACAAATGAAAAGTTGTTTTTCTCTTTACAGCAGTTTGTGATTCCATCATGGTTGAAGATGTATTGGAAGCTCAGACAGAATCAAATCACTCCACTAAACCTTTTCTGTGTCAAAAGGCATTAGGGTTGAAAGAGCTTCTCTACTGCAGTGCGGCGTGCTCTAAAAAAATCCTCTAGTCGTTCTCTTAAACGAGAATTTAATGAAATAAAGATATCTGTTTATCTCTCTGCTCTCTGTCAAGACTGCCAGGTGTTGAGCTTTTGCTTCTTTAGAGGTTTTCTGATCCGTCTAAGTAACCGTGTGTGTATGTTCACATGTGTGTGTGTTTGTGTGTGAGGCTGCTGCATTGTAATGTTTCTGTTCACTTACATGCAAAAATGTTTGGGATCTGTTTGTACTTAACAGTGATGCATCACTCTGTGCCATAGTGATGCTCTCTTAGTGAAGTAGGTATTTAACTACGCTATGATCACTGATACTTCCCCACTACATAATTACATTCCAGACAGTTCAGAGTGATTGGAAAAGCACTTAACATGTCAGATACAGCCATGCGTTATTACTTTGAGGAATGAAAAATGAAATTCCTATTCAGTCCAACACAAAAAAGGTGAATTTTTTTCATGATTTTTTTACATTTCTGAGTTTTTCCAGATCAATACTCAGACTTTTTTATGTCATATTTTTATTCCAAGCCCAGTTGTGACAGATAGCGGTTCATCTTTGACCTGAAAACCCAGCTAAAGCCCATTTTACAGTACTCATGTTTACGGCGAAATAAACATGTTTACAGCCTGGAACAAAACTGGTTTTGATCTCCATTCCTACAACAGTACAGAGAAAACATTTTCTGATATATATATATATATTTTTTCAGTTGGATCAAATACGTAGAGTTTTGCATAATTAGTAGTGATGGGCAGATGAAGCTTTAAGATGCTTTGGAGCTTCTTTTTAATTTGTGTCTGAAAACGTCTTGGCTTACAAAGATCATGTTTGACTAAGAAGGTTTCCATCCTGAAGTCAGACACCTTGGCCAAATGTTTTAGATGTGTCTCTTACAGATGTCCTAGTTCTACCACAATCCTTGCAAGTCTGCTTTAGGGCAGAAAAAGACCCTCATCCATCAGAGCAAAAGTGGTAGAGTGGTAAGCATAGCTGCCTTCCAAGCGGTTGTTTGGCTGGGATGGTTTACCAGCTAATGAAACGGAGCTCATCCCTCGACTTGTGTGATCCTTTCTGACATGTTCTGGATGATGAGCATGCAGATGTTATGTTTATGGTGTGACACAAGTTTAGTTAATTTCTAATCATTTGTCATGCACTGATCTGTAGGGACTATTGGGTGAGTGTTGTATGCCAGTATGTTAGTCAAAGACATGTTGGTTTTAGTGATAGCAGGACACAGCAAATCGATATCCCAATGTGATATTTCATTTAGATTTAATTATGTCAGTTAAATGACATCTATAGATACAGACTTTCTTATTCTGTCATGAACATGGCCTGAAATTCAATGCGCAATTGCGTCAAATAGTAAAGCAAGACAGTTAGAAGCCTTTGATTTGAGTTATGTAAAACTTTTGATGGGACCGTTAAGTCTTAGAGATGTGGTGACAATCACTGCACAGAGGAGGCCCAGTTGATTTCTTTGTCATGGGGTCCAAAATTCTCAGCGGCAAATTGGTTTGAATAACATCTGGGCTGCAAACCAGGCTCTTCGGCGTGTTATTGTGTTTGTAGATGACTGGAGTACCAATTTGGCATCATAGCACATTTTACATCTAACACAGACTATAACATTTCATACTAAAGCTGATTGATTCACTCAAGTAATACAAGCTTCTCAGTTTTGGTATGATAAGTCCATCTCTAATAATTAAGCTTAACTTGGGACAGCACTGATTTCCTCCTCCAGTTCTTTCTATTCTGTGTATCTAATATAGTAACTGCCTTCATTGGGCTTCTTCTACAGAAAATAGAGTATGAAATCAGTCAGTCCATGTCTGAGTGATAAACCCCCTACAGTAGACAATAGTTATGTCACATGTAAATTAAATTTATGAGAAAACTTGCATATATACTCTTGATTTAGAGTAGTGTTTTTTTCTAAAATAACTGTCAGTTTAATTTTTCGTTTCTATTATTGCTCTGTGATGAAAGAACAATTGCAGTGAAAAGACAATTAAACCTGTCTGATAATGTCACGTCTGTTTTAGATATTTTAACACTTCCCTCACTTCTCCTCACTGTCATACAAAGACTCATGACAATACAGCACCCTGCTGTCTTTCACCCCGTAAAGCCCCCTGTCCCGGTTTGAAGACACCCTCTCACCTTTTCCCTCTTCTTTTTTTTTTCTCTCTTTCTCTCTCGTTTGCAGTCATCACCTAAAGGTGCTGGAAAGTAGAGAGAAAAAAGTGTTGTTTTTTTTCGCCTTGAGGTTTTGATTTTCTTTCCTCTGAGGAGGGAACACTAATGAAGTAGCAGAAACACCTGCCAGTTTGTGTCTCTTTGTGCACTTGCGTTTAAATCTATGTGCGTGTGTGTTTCAGCTGATGAGCAGGCTCGCTTACGATGTTTAAATTTAGTCGAGTGAACACTCTCGAGGATGAAACACGCAGGTCGGCTTTTTTTCCTTTGCAAAAATGTCAGCACCCAGTCCCATAGACATGATAACACACACAAACACACACATTATCCAGCACACGAATGAATGCGCATACACGAAAACACACAAACATACTAACCGGTTGCTCTTTAAGAAGCGAGAAAGAAACTTAAACCCCCTCTCTCCTGCCATCTGTTAGTGTTCAGGCAAAACCTACTCTACTCCGCCCTCTGCAATCTGCTGCACCACAAACACACACACACACAAACACGCACACACGCACACACAACGAGACACAATACATACTAAGCCATGCTCCCACTCCCTCTCTCAGGCACATTTATATGCAATACCAAATATTTTGCTAAGATTTCAGACACACCTCTTCCCTAGCAACACATACAAAGGCTCACTCCTTGTTTCTCTATGACTCACTTTGTGTGTTTTTATGTGTGTGAGACTGTCGAAAAAGTTGCAAGATGGCAATGTTTGCGGTTGAACTTATTAGTCCTAAAGAGCAGACATGCTGGCAGATGACGCTTATCAAATTATCTCGCAGATGCATCCCGAGAA